ATTATTTAAAACAAAAGTAGAATTCCAATGTGTAAACAAAGTTAGATACTTGGGAATTAATATACCGTAACAACTAAAAACTCGGATCTATTTAAAAATAACTATGAAACTAAGTGGAAAGAAATAAAAAAGGACTTTAAAAAATGGGAAAATTTAAAACTATCATTGTTAGGGAAAATTTCTGCTATCAAAATGACATTGTTGCTGAAAATGATCTTTTTATTTCAAAATATACCCATAATCACAAACAACAAACCCGTCCTTAATTGGCATAAAGACATTTCAAAATTCTTATAGTCGGGGAAAAAAGCCCAGAGTGAAATTTTAAATATTGTATGATTAAGGAAACAGAGGAGGACTTGCTTTACCTGATTTAAAAACCTACTATTATACAAGTGTACTAGATTGGATGATGGATTGGCTAAAATTAGAAAATGAAAGACAACTAAGACTGGAGGGCGAGGATATTAGATTCAGGTGGCATGGTTATTTATTTTATGATAAATTAAAAGTAAATAGAAATTTCAATGAACATTATATCAGAAAATCTTTAATTAGGATCTGGTTGAAAGTTAAACCGAAAATATGTCCAGGAGTGCTGAAATGGACCTCAATAAATGAAGCCTTTCACAAAATGACCCCACTGAGAGAATCAAAATGGGTTACTTATGAAGACCTATTAAATAAAAAAGAAAAAGAACTCAAAACGCTAGATCAATTGCAAAAAGAAGGCATGAAATGTACATGGTACACGTATTTCCAATTAAGGGAAAGAACTAGGTTAGACTTAAAAACAAATAATATTAAAGAAACAGAACCAGAATTTGAAAAAATACTTAAAGCAGATAAGAAACATAGAATAAGGAAATTATATCAGTTATTATTAAAATTTGAGACAGAAGAAGAACAAGTGAAATCATATATGATCAAATGGGCACAGAATTTGGGACATCCGATCACCTTAGTTCAATGGGAAAAAATATGGATGAAAAGGATGAAGTATACAGTTAGTTATAATCTGAAAGAGAACCTATATAAAATGCTATTTAGATGGCCCCTTACTCCCTTTAAATTGGCGAAAATATACAAGTTAAAAGAAAATGTTTGTTGGAAATGTGGGGAAAAAGAAGGAACATACTATCATATGTGGTGGGAGTGTAATTTTGCAAAAAAATTCTTGGGAAAGATACACGTAGAAATTGAGAAGATATTAGATCAATCATTATCAAAAGACCCGGGAATATATCTATTGAACATAATTGAGGATGATAAGGTAGAAAACCAATAT